TTGTTTTGATGTGACGTCATAGTGAAATAGGGCAATTAGAATTCGATCATGGAACGAGGGCCACTGACTATTTAGGCTGCGTTCATAACGTATGGCAGAGGAAGGGAGGGGGTAGGAAAAAGGGGGGGAATGGGCAAATGTTTATAGAAAAAGGGGGATGCATAATTTTTGGAAGAAGCTGCAAGTCTTGCTTAGGGGGGATCATATTTTTTGCATGACTTTAAGGGCTGGTGTTACGAATTATTCTGGACATTTCAAATTTTCACCTGCACCCCCCCACCTCTGCCATACATTGTGAACGCAGCCTTACTGCTACTCTTAAAAAGAAGAACGGTTTTTATACCTTATCCCTAGGGGGAGACCCCCGAAGTACCGCTGGGTAGTTCGGCAGATATCCGTATTCTTCGTACTGTGGTGTGTTAACAGCCGAATGACCGACTGTTGACACGAAGATGATCGAGGTCAAGACCAAGACTAGCTCATCTGGAGTAGATATCAGCCCATCTCCTGGGATACCCTGTCAAATAATTAGATAGAATACTTCGGTTGATAGCACATGACGGGCAGTGTTTGCCTGTCATTGTAGGCTGGTAATGAGATTCATGAGATTCATTCAGCTGATTGATACYCAGCAATAGAATACTCTCTGGTTGATAGCACATGACGGGCAGTGTTTGCCTGTCATTGTAGGCTGGTAACTGAGACAGATGAAAAACTACTTGTGACGTCATATATCATCGACCAATTAGCGTTTAGCACATCAAACCGTTTCTCACCTTGATACTGCAGCCATCGCTCCCGTCAGATGCCAGCTCACGTGACCACGCCGATAGCTCAGAATCGTTTCTCAAGATATCAGGATCAACTGTGAATATTAGTGAATGTAATGAAATGACCAGGTAAAGAGAGTGTAAGTAGTTATATAGCGCAATTGAATATGTATATAGATTTTTTGCCTTTAGAAGTTATTAAATTATTATTAACAAGGCAATAGAGTATTTGCACTACCACGTGACAACAGCCATGTTAGATGGCAGGAACAATACAATCGTTTTACATGAGAAAGAATTCAATTCCCGAGAGCAAAGGGATTTTATTGTTCTGCCACCTAACCACAGGCAGCACAAGCTTTATCATGGGAGTGGGCATGTAATGGTGGAAAACCTTAAAGTTTATGCAAATGAACAGGATTCTGTATCAGATTTACAACACTCTTCACGGGCGTGATTTCTGTTGTGTTTTCCTTATGAATTATTAATGAGTTTAATAAGTTATAAATATTGAACGTAGTGGTAGTGCATGTGGAGGGAACCTCACGGAAGAGCCCCGTATGGGGAGTGGTGGTTGTAAAATATTATTATTATTATCTCCTGCAGTAGATGATTTTTTTACCACTGTTTTAATTACGCGCTGTTCAAGAAAAAATGCAGGGGCGGATCCAGGGGAGGGGTGCAGGGGGTGCGCACCCCTCTCTGTTCCACCTTGTGCCCCTACTTCGAAGATAACCAATACTGTTTTTTGCCTTTGATTCTAAGGGGTGCACCCCTCCCTGGGTTAACTTTGTGCACAGCACCCCTCCCTGAACAAAATCCTTGATCAGCCCCTGAAATGGGAGTCTGCTATGCTTTTAAGCCTTAGTTGAGTTGAGTTGAGTTGTACATTACGATATTTATTGTAGACTATAGTGCGTACTAGGTTCTCTATGGAGTGATAGAGAGGGAGCGAGTCGTCACGGTATGGATAGTAGATACTTACGATATCTATT